AAAGGCAAAGATTGGCTCTCGCCGTTAGGCCTGAACTTTCCCGCCCGCCGGTGCAAGTCCCCACCGTCTGCCACCCCGCAGTCCCCAGGGCCCCGGCCTTCCGTACTGCTGGGAGGGACTTACTCCGACTGTTCCCGCAGACACGGAGCCTCGGCGGCGGCCATCTTGAACTTCCTGACTCGTCGGTGGCGGCGGCTGCCCGGGCGGTGGAGGCTGGTGTAAGGGGAGGAAGAGGGAGCAGAGCCGTCGCGCATGTGCTGAGCGCGCACGGCACCGTGGAGCTCTGAGTCCGCTCTAAGAATCCAGATATAAAAGTGCATCCGGGGACATGGCGAGCGAGCGTGATGACGCAACTTCCCCAGACGGGGGTGGGGGGGGGTGGGGGAGGGGCGCGAGGAGCGGCGGGCGGCGCCTGCTGAGGGTTCCAGGCCAAGTGACAGGCATGCGCTCTGCGCGGGTCAACGTTAGAACCGAACTAGGTCTGGGAACCAGCTAGAGAGGGAGGAGACGGGACTCGGTGAGACGTCGGTCTCGGGTGTTCTCACGGGGGCCCAGGAGCTGAGTTAAAGTTCTCAGACTGCGGCAAACAAAATGACGGTTTTGCTTCTGAGCTGCGTTGGAGGCGTAGTGAATGCCTCTTGACTGGCTGGATAATTCAACCAGAAGTCGCATTAAGGGCAAGCTTGTAGAAAGGCATACTGAGGATACTGGAAAGTTAGAGTTGCACTTAGAACGTAAATGTATTTTAATATGTAACCGTTATTGATACATTTATTTAAAACATGAACTTTGTTTCCATTTTTTGCCAAATCCAGGGGTAATGTCAGGAGTCGTTAGGGTCACTGGTTCTGTAAATTGAAGTTTCAAGTAATATTTTGGTTCAAATTATGTCTTTCTATAATTATGGACTACAGTAATGGGACTAGGTGAAATACTATATGAAAAAACATTTATTGACTCTTGGAGAGCTTTCAGCACCGTGTGGGATTTTATGTCGCTCTCGGAGGGAAAAAAAGGTACCGTTCTCCGTACTCCTGGCGCCTGGAAGCAGGGTGACCATTACTTTTATTCTTAAAAACAATTTAGTTTGGGTTTGCCCTGGAAGTTTGAGCTTAGAATACCTGGGCTTCTTATATATCTTAAATTTTCAGAGGGGAAGAGTTACAAATATTGTTTAAAAATAAGTACCTGTTTGGTGGCTGAGTCCCAAACGTGTTAAAATGTTAAGTGTTTTCCCCACATGGACTCTATTAATATGGAATACCAAATTAACCTTTGGATAATTATTGATTTTTGTGGGTTCCCCATGTAGCATTTCTTTATATAGTCCTTAATTATATTGTTTTCTTCATGAAGGATTTCTCTCTCCTTAACAATCAGGTTCAGGTATAATAACTTGAAAGACTCCTTTCAAAGGAATAAGTTTTCAGAGATATGTTTAAAATGGTTTATGTTTTAACCATATGCTTATTTATGTACTAATAGTGTATAAGTTGGGATTTCAGAGTTCTAACTATTCCTCCCTCATCCCTATATATCTTTTTAAAGTATTACTAATTCAGCCTTGTATGAACAGTTCATTGTATTATCTGCTCCGTACCCTCATGAAGGCAAGGCAATGTGTCATTTTGTCAATAGCTCCAATATGTTATTAAAATAACAAAAAATAATAAATTATATATATAAAATCCTAATATGCAAATAGGCCAAATGGCAGAACAGCTGAACAACCAGTCACTATGACGTATGCTGACCAACAGGGGGTGCACGCGGATCATGGTGGGTGTTGGCCACAGCGGGATGGTGGAGCAGGTGAGTGGAGAAGCCAGACCAAGGCGGGGCGCCAGTCACTGTCATCAGGGTGAGCCTCTGGTGCTTACTGAAAATTCTTTGCTCCCGTGCACCGCAGTCCCACTGGGCACTCGCACCTGCTGCCAGCACTGGCCCCACTCATACTAGCTGATCGCTTGGCACTGTCAGCAGGTGCAAGTAGCAGCTGCCAGCCCCAATCACCCCTCAGGGCTTCTCCACCAACCCCTTCTCCTGAGGGGCGATCAGGGCCGGCAGCCACCTCTAGCACCTGCTGCCAGTGCTGGCCCCAATCGCTCCATGCCAGTCAACAGGTGGGAGCGGGGCTGCTGGCAGATAGGATCAGGAGCTGTGGAGGGAGGCGCCAGGCGAGGGTGCTGAGGATGGGTCGAGACCCACCCTTGTGCCCACTGCAGCCTCATGGCCCACAGTTCCTTTCAAGGTGCACAAATTCATGCACTGGGTCCCTAGTTTTTAAATAGTTTTAAAATGAAATAATCATAGCGTATGTAGTATAAACCTATTACAGATCACGTTTTGGAAATAAGTGCAACCCTATAAGGGATCTTTACCTCGGATATACTATAAAGTAGAATAATATACTAAAGGCAAAAAGTCTAGCAAATTGGTGTGAAGAGGTAAGGTAACTTGCTTGTGATGACTCAGTTTCTAAGTGTCAAGCCAGGATTTGAATTGAAATCGAACTTCCAAGTCTTTGCTCTTTCCTTCTTAACATGAAGCTTCCCACAGAAATGTCATTTGTTTAGCATCTTATTGAGTACCCACTAACACAGCTCTTTCATATTCAAATATTTTTTTAAGTAAAAGGGAAAGATCACTGTACTGATGTCCAGAAATACTTATTTTCCTAAGGTCCAGAGGCTGTAATCTCTTTCTTGTTGCTGATTGATTAGTGGAGAGCTCATAGGCCAATCTCAGTTTCCTTAATCATATTATATTCCCTGGTCCCCTTTGGCTCCACAATTCTTGGCAGTATGCTTAATGTGAGAATTAAACTAAGCACACTGAGCCCTAGCTGTTTTGGCTCAATGGATAGAGTGTCACCCTGTGGACCAAAGAGTCCTGGGTTCCATTCCGGTCAAGGGCATGTAACTCAGTTGCACGATCCTCCCCGGGCCAGGCCCTGGTCAAGGTGTTTGCAGGAAGCAACCAATCGATGTGTTTCTCTCACATGGATATTTCTCTCTGTCTTTCCCTCTCCCACTCTCTCTGAAAATCAATGGAAAAATATCCTCAGGAGGGAATTAAAACAAACAAACTAAGCACACTGAGTAGGGGGAAGACGAATGGGGGAAGTAGGCACTAAGGATGTTCAGGTTTGAAGCCAGATTATGACTGGTTAAAGTTTAGATTTGGATAAACCATTCAAGTTTGTAAAAAACAGCGTAGCAGCCCAGCCGGCAAGGCTCAGTGGTTGAGTGTCAACCTATGAACAGGTCACAGTTCTATTCCTGATCAGGACACATGCTCGGGTTGCAGGCTGGATCCCCAGTGTGGGATGTGCAGGATGCAGCTGATCAATGACTCTCTCTCATCATTGATGTTTCTATCTCTTCTTCTCCCTTCCTCTCTTGACATTGATAAAAATATATTTTTTAAAAAGAGCATAGCAAAAATAAAGTTTAAGAAAATGATGCTAGCAAAATACTTCCTTTAAAATTTTCTCACCAAGATACTAACAGTATGCAGTGTATACTAGGAAGGGGATTTGTCAAGGACTCACTCAAAACTGTGAACAACCTGGATGGTCAGAAAGACAAACAGGTGGGTCCTAGAGCCCACCTCTAATTATCTGGTTATTAAATTAAGCCTGAAACATACATCACTCGAGGCAAAAATGACAAAACTGAAGCTATTTGTACTTTGGGCACATCATGAAAAGGCGGTTCCTTTGGAAAAGACAATAATGCTGAAAAAATAAAAGGCAGCAGGAAGAGGAAGACCAAATATAAGATGGATTGACTCTACACAGAAGCCACAGACATGAGCCTACAGGACCCAAGCAGGGCAATGGAGAACAGGACTTTTGTGGACATCACTCAGCCTCGGGTAGTAGGAGCCAAATCAACTGCAGGTAACACACACACACACACACACACACACACACACACACACACACATGTTGCTGTTGTAGTTTTAGAAGATGGTTTTTTAATGGTAGAGTTAAAATGAAAGTAAACATCCACCTACTCCTTTAATCCTTGTTATAGATCCCTCTCACAGACACCAGAGAGGTGTAATCAGACAGCCCTGAGTCAGGAGAGGGCTGTCTCTACCCCAGTTCTTGTCTTCTCATATAAATCAACTTAAATGAGAGATCCTGATTTCATTGTGATAAAGCCGATTTTATTAAAGCAATTAAAGCAAACACGTTTATTAAAGAAGCAAGGCAAGCAAATCTATCATCAGGTATAATGTGCACAGATGGGCTCTTAGCGAATCTGGAGAGTGATGAGTTGGGTGGGATTTGAGGTGTTATATACCCTCCTGTCTATAGGTTTCAGAATTCCTCTGCTGAATATCTTGGTACAGATTAATCCTCAGGTCACTTTTTACTTCGTTGTGGCCTTCCCAGAATTCATGAGCAGCACCTGGCAACTTTATCTTCCCAAGCCTTGACATTTCTGGCTTTTGTGTTTAGGAAGCAAAAAATAAAATTGCCTTCCCTGCATTCTCTCCTTTGAGAGGCTTTTAACCATTTGCCCTCAAGAATCCTGGGCTGGGGAAGATAATGGCTTGTTATTTACAAGCTGTCTTCAAATTGCCCCCAGTGTTTGGCCTTGTTTTAACTCCCTACCTCAGTTTCCCTATTCCTCTTGCCCTGGAGTTTTCGCAGCTTTTACTGCCCTGTAACAATTCAGCAAGTGTTTATGAAGCGACAGACTTTCCATTTTCAAACTATAACCTCAACTTTTCATTCTTGCTGTTCTTCCTCCGCCGATTCAGGCAGGAACTTTTGCTCTGGAAAGCTGCCTAGCAGGAACCATTTCGTAGCAAACCGAAATGGAATGGAACTCACCCGGATAAATGCCCAGAGGGGCGGGGCCTCAGCGAGCAGGCGCTTCCCGGTGGGTGGGCTCCCGGCCTGCGCCCCGCCCCGGAAGTCGCGTGAGTGCGTGTGTGCATAGCAGGAAGGGGTGGGCGGGTCTGCAGTCCTTTGCAGTTCCGGCGCTGGAGCTACGGATCTAGGCAGAGCTTCCTGCTTCTGGACGGAGCCTTCGCGCTCCCTTCGGGCGGGTGTTTCTCCATGGAGCCGAGCCAGCTCTTCAGTCACTGTCAGGGTCCGCACTGTTGCCGCCATTACAGTCGGGCGGTTTCCCGCTGCCAGGCCTGGCGGAGGCCCACCTACCGGAGAATCCCGCGTCCCTAGGACCTCGCGGCGGCCGCTTTCACTCAAGCGGAGATTGTTTTGCCGAAGAGATCGTGAAAGCTGAGCGCTTGGGGTCCCCCACCCCCGACCCCCAAACAATACCGAACAGGTTTGCGGGTCCGGAGACGGCGTTTTGGGGACAAACATGTATTTTTGAACATTTCGACTTGTTCTTGCCATCAATTCTTTCAAGTATTACTACTTTCATACAAGATACACGTTCCCGAACTAGTGTGATAATGCCTTTGAATTACCTTCCTCCCGTCGAAAAGTGTAAACTAAGCTGCACTGGCATCGCCAGTCGCGTTAGGCTCATTATAACGTAGGCTGCACACAAAAATGAAGAGCTCCATAAAACCCCTTGCAGGAAACTGGTCTGTGAAAGACTTCCCAGATCGCCTTGTGGATAATACTTAAGTTTTTTTCTAGTTTAAATCTAGATTTGGAATTTGTAGCCGTTTGGGAACATACTGGGCTGTTCCTTCTTTATTACAGAACAAAAACTTTTCCCTTTGTTTCAAGAAAATTAATTTAGC